ACCTCTGGGCCGGGAACAGCGGGACTCAGTACCTTGGTCTGGTGGTCTGGTGTCCTCTGCGTCTTTGTAGTGTGGAACCAGGTGGCTGCCTGTCTGCAGCGGGGTGACTCGGTGTCTTCCGCATGACTCAGGACCTCGGCAGGGCATGCACAGATCTTCCTGTTTGCAGCGGGCTGATTCGGCATGTTCTGTGGGACTCAGGACCTCGGTAGGGCATGGGCAGACCCCCCTGTCTGCAGCAGGGTGATTAGGCGTCTTCCCGTGACTCAGGACCTCGTTAGGGCGTGCACAGACCTTCCTCAGGTCCTTTTTCTTTTTAAAGTAGGTTGTATAACACAAGTTTCTGACTCCTGCTTTCTCTGCATTCATGTCTTTTGTGATAAGTTTTTTTTCTTTTTTGTTTCATTTCTTTTTTGCAGTGTTGGGGATCAAGTCCAGGGACTCACACATGCTAGGCAAGGGCTCCACCAACTAAGCTACAGAGCAACCCCACGTGATGTACATTTTTATTTTTGTTCATTTCAAAGTTCCTTCTAGTTTCTTTAGTGATATGTCCTGTGATCCATTGGATATTGCTATGGACTGAATTTTGTCCTTTAGCAACAAATTATCATGTCCCCTTGGACTACGTCACAATGTGACTGTGTTTATTCATAAGTTCTTTAAAGAGGCAAGGAAGATAAAACAAAGTAATTAGGCTAAGCTCGGATTCCATCTGACTGTTGTATTTAAAACCAAGAGAAAGACAGAAATCCTGTGTTCACTTGCTTTTAGTTATTTCTTTGTATTTACATGAAAGATCACTAATTTTGGAGTTTCTGCAGCTGAGCAATCTTACAATCTATAGGCCACTAGCATTTCAGTAGGTATTGCCTTTGCAAGGTGTGTCATGATCATAGTTGGTCTAGCTTACTTTTCTGGGACTGGGAGGCTCCTCATATGCACATCATCTACACATCACTGGAATTTGGGCAGGTGTCCAATGGGTAGCAATTTGGTGTAAAAGTTCCTGAAATCCACACTCAGATCATGCTAATGCTTCAGTTTTCAGAACATATGACCAGTGGAGAGCTATGAAGGTTGACTATCTACATGCAGAACACTGATTTTTTCCTTCCGATTTACCTTTTCCAAGGCCCCAAGGCATCTTCCCTTTCTATCCCATCGGTGTCCCTGAGATGGCAGATTTCAGACTTGGTCTCCATCTCCATGCTTGACCAACTCCAAAAAAGTCTTTCCATGTCACTCAACTTGTTGCAAGGATCAGCACATTGTTCAGTGGTCAGAAAGACCCTGGTTCTCTAACATCCTTAGAACAGAGGAGACTGGGACACATACATGGAGATATCAGGGCCGGGCACGCACAGAAGGGGATTATGTGAAGGCCCAGCATGTGTGTGGCCACCTGCAAGGCAGGGAGCTGGTGTCAGGAGAATGCATCCCTGTGCCGTCTCCAGGGCTGTGAGAAAATAAAGGGCTGAGGTTTCAGTCACTCATCCAGTAGATGTCAGTTCATGGCAGGCAAGCAATGCATTGCTTCCCTTCCCTTTCTTTGGCAAACTTCCCCAATTTCCTTGCTATTGACTTCTAATGTGGTGGTCCTTTGTTCAGGGAACATAGTGCATAGGAGTCCCAGCCCTCTGGGGCCTCTTAAGTTTATTGAGGGTGTGTAGTGGTGCGCCGCTGTCCTGGAGGAAGTTCTGTGTGCTCAGCAGACATACATTGATCCTGCTAGTGTTGAGCACAGAGCTCTCAGATGTGTGTGGGAACTGGTTACTTCATACTACTCTTCTGGTCTTCCATTCCCACAGTACCTTTCTGTCTAGTTGTTCTGCCTGTTATTTAAAGTGTTGTGAATTTATCTGTTGGTGGACTCATAATTAATTACAACAGACTGGGCCAATTGAAAAAAGAAATATATCTACTCACACTACTAGATGTTACTTCAAGCAGATGAAAGTGCCCAAAAATATATTGTTTCTGGTGAGGCCTCTACTCCTGGTTTGTTGATCAACTTCTTATTTTCACCCATGCTATATTGAGGACTGACCCCACGGTCTTCTGCATGCTATCCCAGCACATGACTGTTGAGTTATATCCCTAGTGCTTTTTTAATATTTTAAGATAGGGTATCACTATTTAGCCCAGGCTGCCTTGTAACTTGTGAACCCCTGCTTGAACACCCTGTGGGATTACATTGATGGGTTTCTGTGCTTGGCTGGTGGCTACCTTCTTGCTGTGTCTACATATAGCCTCTGCACTATTTGTATGGGAGGGGGGAGATATTCTACAGCCTTTTCAAGTATCCACCTACTTTGTGACAGATGCTTCAGATAACAAAAGCAATCTCATTTCCATATTACTGTAAAAGTATTATCAGGAGGAGTTTTGATCATTATTAGCATTTGTGTATTTTTCCCTTCACAATAACCTCTGATCTTAGCAGGCTGACAATTTCTGTCTTTGGATTCATGGCCAATCTGCTAACCTGTGAGTTGTTCCTATAGCACACATGACTGTCCCTGTCTGAACATCAGCAATAGTATCATTGGACATATTGAAAACCAGGATTTCCTTTTGGAGTGGGAAACAGACCAGAGTCCGGACAAGAAAGGTGCAGACATGTGCAACGAAGGTTTGGGGTCAGTGTGCCCATGAGCAGATGGGCTTATTTCTTGACAGTTAATTTTCCTAACAAATCTGAAAACAAGCATATTGAGGTATGCAACAAATATAAGTTTAATAGTGTAGATCAACAGGGGAAAAGAAATAAGCAGCAGCCAATATTTGATTTGCATCCTTATCACTTTTTCTAGGGCCCCTCTAACTTGATGTAAACTTACAATTTCTAAGGAAATTCCTATTCCACTCCCATTTTATCATAAATAAGTTGAATAGTTTTTCTGTTGGTATGATAAAGGAGGAAAGACTGTTACATTTGAATGGAAAAGGCACTCCGTTTGTGATCAGTGTCACACAAAGTCACATTCCCGTCAGAAAACACAGACATCAACATCACAAAACTAAAAATACATGGGAGATCAATACCATTTTTCAAATAAATTTGGAAGCTACTTCAGTCTCCCAAAAAAAGAACAATACTTCAAAAAGCCATAAAGAAAAGCCCTGTCCATTTCCAAGGAACCCAAATAGAAGAGACAGCAAGATGCTGTGCACGGTATTTTACCCCCTTCCCCGGCCCTTCACTGCTTACAAAATTGCTGCTCTTCACAAACACAGGCTGAGAATGGGGCTCATTTCACATGCAGTGGGGACTAAGCCAGTGAAGTGGTTGCGGAACGCTGCCTGCCCCTGTCTCTTTCACACATCTTGCCTCTCAGGGACCCTGACTATAGTGTTTTCCTCTCTCAAAGCCCACTCATATAGATGTGGGTAAGACCTGGGATCTGTGTTGTTAAGCTTGGCCACATGCTCCAGAACTTTCATCTGGGTGGTTTCAGTGTGGGCTCTTGGACCCCACAGGAACTCATAGCTGGCAGGACCACTATTAAGAACCTGCCTATACATCAGGTACTGTTCCCGTACCAAATCCTCTGTGATAAACTTCCAGGGATCCCCAATAACAACTCGTTCCCTCAGAACTAATATCTCCCAACTTCTAACTTGTTTCCTTAGTTCTTCCACACTGACACTATTGCCATTTATGAAGATTACACTCAAGATATATATCAGGAGGTCAACTTTGGGAATGATCTGTTCATCATCATCCAGTATGCCATTGTAAGTGAGGCCCAAGATGGGCACAAGGTCATAGATGTACTCAGAGGGATCCACTAACCTTATCTCGATACCTAAGCCCAGAGACAGGGACTCACAGAATTTCTTATAGTTAAGAAGGAAGTGCTCACAGTAATCATGGGACACAATGTGCAGCATTTCTTCCATGGTGGTCTGCTCCTTCTTTTGATACTTGCGGACCAGAAAGGGCACCAGGTTACGTAACTTCTCATTTAGGAGTACACTGCACAGGATCTGGGGGAAGTTCGTGGCTTGCGAAGGGCTTGAACCCTCTGCTTTTTGTGTGTTGGAGCTCTCACTGAAATGACTACCTGGTGTAGAAGCCATGGCAGTCGGGGGAGAGAGGATGCCCTCACAACTTTGAAGATAACTTAGTATCCAAAGCTCTAGCTCTTGTTTTGGTGTGGGACTGATTATAGAATAGGAGGTAGAACATGCAGAGGAAGCAGTGGCTGCTGCTTCCTCCTCCACATCCTTGAGAACTGGCACACTCATGATGACTGTGCTTCTTTGGGCAGGATGGACTCCCCCTAGCTTTCTGTCTTGGCTCTTCTGCCGTGGGGCATCACGATGACCTGTGGGGACAGCAAGAGCTTGTTGTTAAAGACTCAGATGCTCGGGGAGAGAGAGACTATTAGTGTTCTCAGCTGAGAAAAACACACTTGTTGCCTCCCACAGAGGCCCATTATAGGTCTTCGGTTGGGGGCTGCTCTAGGGCTTCACAGGCTCCTGTACACCTACAGTCCTTGTTCCCATAATCCTGGGATATTAAATGAGGCTGCTCCTCAGATTGCAGTTGAACTGCAGAGAACACAGCTCTAGGGAAGACAGTATGCCATATGGAGCGTGAGCCTCCATACTATGAGGTGCCCTTGTTGTGGGACAGGGAACCATAGATACATCAAGGCATGCACCTCACCTTGACTCTTGGGCCTCCTCTATTGTGTGACCTAGGGACACTGCCTCACAGGAAGAACTTCACCACCTGGCTCCTGGAACTCCTGTAAGAGACATGGAGGGCCCTCAGTCTGCACACCGCACTGTTTGGAGTAAATGGTCCCCTTTCTGCTCACTCAGGGCCCTTAACTGTCCTTGAGCAGGGCCTGGACCCTAGTCCTCTGCTGGGTGGAGGCAAACTCTCAGAAAAAAATGTGCCTCCCTGGAAGGGTCAAAAGTCTCTGAGGGGATACACATCTTGCCACTGCTGCCTGAAAGCCACAGCTGGAGGTGGAAAAATTCAGTGGGGTCCATGTGCCTGAGAAAAGGGAAACTGCTCCATCTTTATCTGGTTAAATCCTTACATCTAGGACTCTTGCTGCAATGACTTGGGGCATCTCCTTTAAACCGCAGCAATATTGCTGTGAGACGCTCAAGCAGCAGGTGGTAGAACTCGAATCCACCTATGTTCCCTGAGTCTGACTACTAGTGATCAAAGGGAGAGGTTGAGCCTAGTGTACTGTGTGTTTAGGTGAGTGGCTTTTCTCTGTCTCAGCTGGATACTCAATAGACCCTGGGCTACTACTTCTGCTGTCCAGGTTCAAGCCTTCTTGTACCAAGAACTTCACCTCACTGAGACCAATGACCCGGAACTACGAGAGCAGTCTCAGTCTTACAGCTGAGCCCAAGCTTCCTGGGATGTTGGCAAGCTGAGGTCTAATGTCAGAAGACCACAGACCTGTCTGTGTTCAGGTCGAGAATATACAAAATCCTCCTTTAGTGTCCTCAGCTTGGCTCTTTACAGACCTTGGGACACCTGTGTGTCTCCTGACCAGGTGGAGTTCCCTGTGCCTACCTGCAGACACAATCACAGATAGAGTTCTTCACCTCCCTGAGAAGTGAGCAGGCGCCCATCATGCTATCCCTTCATGGGGACTGCAGTGCTGACAAGATATTGTACTCATCTCTCCTGTGATGCAGGATCTCTATTATGGTTTAAATCTAGATTTCCCTGGAAATTTACATTGGATCACAGGCAGGGCCTTTGGAAATGATTGGATTATACCTTTTTTGGTATCAGGAGGTGGGACCTTTTAGGAAAAGGAGGTTCACTGTGGGTGTGACAAGGAAGGTTATATTTTCCTTCCTGATTTCATTCTCTGCTTCCTGGAGGACTTGTGATGAGCAGCTTTCCTCCCAACAAGTCCTTCTTCTCTGCTGTTCTGCCTTGGGGTTGGCTGACTCTGGATGGAAATCTTTATAAATTTTGAGCCCAAAATAACATTTCTTCTACTAAATTGTGTCAGGTATTGTTAATCAGCAGTGAGAACATCAGCACAGTATCCCCTATGTGCTTCTGCAGTATTTCCATCTTCCTTCTGTCGATGCCTGCCCTCTCTCATCCTCACCCTACCTGAGATGGGCTGATCCCCTGAAGAATCCCTTCAGGGCCTTGGTAGGATTGAGCATGTCAAATACAGCATCCCAGGACTGACATGGAGAATAGGAAGACTCTGTGGGATCTGTTGTCTCTGGGATGCAGATACCTTCAGTCCTCAGGAAGGGTCCATACCTTCAGTTTATCAACTCCTGGAGTCCTCCATTTACTAACTATATGTAGCTTCCTCTCCTGACTTATGGTTACCTTTGAACCAAGGTACTCACCTCTGTGAGTTCACCCCTGTAAAGCCACTAAGTAGATTTGTGAGCAGTTTATATACAGCCACCTTCTCCAGGAACTCCAGGTTGACTACAGGAGAAACCAGGCTCTGTAGGATTCCTACCTGTTACCTTCCAAACTTCAGTGCTAGAAAATAGAGTGGTGAGCAATTGCAATTCACTTTCTCCTAGATTCACAATCCAGCCTCTGAGAACTCAGAACAGAGGCAGAGGAACAAAAGAGAAATACAAAGAAGAAGATTCCCCAGGACTTCTGAATGACTTGACGTGAAATTTGAGAACTACAGTGAGTTCTGTAAACATTAATAGGGCAATTAGACAAGGGGAAGAAATAAAAGGAATATGGATAGGAAAAGGAGTTACCATTATTTGCTAATGACATGATTTTTTACACAGAAAACCCCCAAAGCTCCACCAAAATACTCCTAGAATTAACTGATATTTGGCAGTACAGCAGGATACAAAGTCAACACTCAAAAATCAATAGCATTCCTGTAGATAACAAACTCACTGAGAGAGAAATTAGGGAAACTACACCTGTCACAACAGCATCAAGAAAAATGAAATACTTAGGAATCAGTCTAACAAAGAAAGTTAAAGATCTATACACTGAAAACTATAGTACTCTGAAAAAGGAGATTGAAAAGGATATCAAAAAATTGAAAGATATCCCCTCTTCTTGGATAAGAAGAAGCAATAGAGTGAAAATGGTTATACTTCCAAAACTGTTACACAAATTTTAATGCAATCCCACACAAAATACCAATAGCATATCTCACAGAATCCAAACATTCCTGTGCTAGGAAACAATCCTAAAATTCCTGTGGAACCAGAAGAGACCTATTATAGCAAAAGCAATTCTAGACAACAAGGGCAAAGCAAGGGGGATCTTAAACCCAAATTTGAAGTTATCCTACAAAGGTACCATGATAAAAACAGTATGGTACTGGCAAAAAGAACCCAAGGATCAGTGGAACAGAATAGAAGATGCAGAAACAACTGTAAACATACTCAGCTACCTTATCTTTGACAAAGGGGCCAAACACCTTCACTGAAGGAATGATGCCCTCTTTATTAAATGGTACTGGAAAAACTGGCTATCCACATGCTGAAAATTGAACCTAGAATCATATCTCTCACTATGCACTAGATTAAAATGTAAATGGATCAAAGATCTAAATATAAAAACAGAAATACTTAATCTACTGGAAGATAGAATAGGTAAAATTCTAGAAGATATACATGTAGCCAAATACTTTATGAACAAAAACCCAATCCTACAAGAAATATTACAAAGAATCAAAAACTGGGATCACATCAAATTAAAAAGCTTTGGAACAGTAAAAAATTACCAACAGAGTGAAGAGAAAATCCATGGGATGGGAAAGAAATTTACCATTTACTCTTCAGACAAAGGACTAACATCTACGAAATATAAAGAACTCAAAAAATCAGAACCCCAATTTAAAGACTCAGTCCAGAAATGGGCATCTGAAATGAACAAACATTTCTCAGATGAAGAAATACAAACAGCAAACAAATAAATAAAAAATGCTCAACATCACTGGTCATTGGAAAAACGCAAATTAAAACAACACTGAAATTCCATCTCACTCCAGAAAGAATGACCATTATCAGGAAATCAACTAATAACAAATTCTGGTGAGAATTTAAGGAAAAAGGAACCTTTCACTATTGCTGGTGGGAATGTAAACTGGTACAATTACTATGGAAATCAGTATGGAGATTCCTCAAAAAACTAAAACTAGGGGCCGAGGATCTAGCTCAGTGGTTTCGCCACCTGCTGTGCAAGTGCAAGGACCAGAGTTCAATCCCCGGTATCAAAAAACCCCCCAAAAACCTAAAACTAGATGTTCCATTTGACTCATCTGCTCCCCTTCTAGATATCTTTCCAAAATAGTTAAAAGCATCATACCACAGTGATATATGCATACTCATGTTTATAGCAGCACAATTTATAATAACTAAGCCTTGAAAACAGCCTATATGACCATCAACAGGTGAATGGATAGTGAAAATGTGGTATTTATATACAATAGAGTACTACTCTGCAGTGAAGATGGATAAACTTGAGTCATTTGTAAGAAAATGGATATATCTTGAGACCTTAATCTTAAGTGAAATAAATTGGACACACAAGTTTAAATAACACACTGTCTTATATGAGAAATGTAAAGCAAAAATAAGGAACATAATGGAAAATAGATGTTGGGAATTAGGATGAACATATTCAAATGAGGAGGGGAATAAGGAGGAGTGAAGAAGAAGGCAAATAAGGGGGGAAAAGGAGAATGGCAGGAAAAATTGAAACAAAAATTTTATAATTGGGGAATTTAAGAAGTGTTGAAGGGAGAGGAAAGGAATGGAAAAAAAGATATATTGCATACAGGTACAAATTCCCTATGATGAATGTGATCTATGTGCATGACAAATATGTACAAATAAAAAATAAAGTTCTTTTTTAAAAAACAGCAGAGATTATTTCCAAGATTTAGCAACTACAAACTGTGATGTTATAAACAGCCCATTTGCCCATCACTGTCCATTCATCAAGAGATGAATGGATAGAAAAAGTGTGATGTTTATATACAATGCAGTTCTACTGTGCCATAAAGAAGGATCAACTTGAGACATTTTTAGGTAAATGAATGCAGCTCAGGACCATAATCTTAAGTGAAATTAATCAGATTCACAAGTTTAAATGTGGCATTGTTTTTCTTGTGGAAAGAACCCAAAGTATAAACAAGGAGCAAAATTGTAGATTAATATAAGGAATTTGGAAAAACTTTTCAAATGGGGAGGGGAACAACAGGTAGTGGAAGTGGTGAGTGAAGGAAGGGAAAATGGATTTAAAGGAAAAAAGAATTGAAGAGAAACGTGGAAATAGAGCTTTTGCAAGAAGGGAGGGCAATGGGACAAAAAAGAATTAAGATGTATTATGTACATGTACAAATCATCCATGATGAATGTGATAATTATGTCATGAAAACATGTACTAATAAAAATGTACAGAGACCTTGAAGAAACAGATAACACTCCAGAGAAGGGAAAAATCAGTCTGGATTTTCTCCCTGGCTTCTGGCTCTTGAGAAAGGGATTGAATGTGTAGAAAAAAAGTGAAACCTGGGGACTTCAGGATATCTCAGAGAAAAAAGGTGGTGGTTTAATGGACCAGTGGTTGCTGTGACCTATAGGGACAGGGACAGTGTGGAGATCTGCTCCCACAGAGTCCTTACTCAGGAAAGAGCAGGCAACTAACTCCTGTGCAAGCGTCTTCCATATCCTTGGAGAGTGCATGGCCTTGGGTTCCATTCTAGGAAAGAGTTGAGTATTTGAACCTGGAACTCAGAACAGCATTGGGACA